TTTTCTGGTTATCACCCGTCCCCTTGTGTGTTCTGAAGGTTGTTCTGCATGTAAACGGTCTGCAGAGTCACAAACCCTCAAAGTACACCCTGTAGCGATTAAAACTCTAACACAGAGAAGACCTGTCTATGCTGCCCCAGAACGCCTCGTTGGACATTTCGCTTTTTCAAAATGTTTGTTCCGGGAACCAAGTGACGTAACGACGACCCCTCCACGGTTGGTCAATCTTTTCTCAGCTGCAGCTCCGCCGATTTCTCCTCCCTGAGACGGCGGGAGAGGCTGTGAGTCGGTGTGTGAGCACACACACAAACTCCCAGCCAGGCTGCGGGTGTGTGTGTGTGTGTTCGGGCTGGGTTTCGCTGTCTCGCAGACGGCCACTGGGCTCACAGGGAGGGGGGGCAGGAGCTCCAACAAGCCGTTTAGGACAGAGAGTGAATACACATACTTTACAGAGATGCTGTATGAGAAACCAATGAGAGTTTGGAACATTGAACAATGTAAATGTATTCTAGTAGACCTCAACAATGGAATTATGATCAGTAGAAATGGCCATGACATGGGACCTTTAAATTCCCCTATTTCTTTTTCAAACAAATTGGGTTTAATGGAATAAAAACAATTGATTTAAATGTATTATTAATTGGAAACTAAACTCTTGATAGTGGTTAGACATGGACGTGTTTCTAGTTTAAATATCCTTGTTTTTTCTTTAAAACAAATTGGGGTTAATGGAATAAAAACAAATAGGTTCAATTGTTTTGTTATTATTAATTGATTAATTGAAAGGAAGATATTTGTGTTTTTACCAAGACACAGACATGTTTAAATCCCCCAATTTTTTTTTTAATTATTTGTGTTGGATAGAAGAAAAACATTTGTTTGATTTAAATGTATTATTAATTTTATTTGGATATTTAGCATTTTGGACCCTATTGTGGGATCACAACATATCTGAGTTACTCTCTTTTATTTATTTATTTATAACTATATTTGTTTGGGACTTTGAAAAACAGTCATTACAGTTTTAAACAGTAAATCACATTTGCATAACAACATGTTACTTCCACTCGTGTTACTTTTTAAACATATTTATCACTTTGAATATATATTGGTATTATTTTCAGTTTGTGTAATCATGTGTTGTTTCTACATACTAAACATGGATTTGCTCCGAAATGGTTTATTATTTCCTGTTTCCATTTTAAAAAACATGTTGCACTCGTGGTCATACTTTTGTGTTTACTTCTCAAACTGCGTAAACAAAAACAACAACATCAGAGCAAAAAAAAACAATCATTTTCCTAAGGGGTGTGTGTGTGACTAGAAATTAAATTGCCTTTCACACACATTGGTGAAGTAGAGTTTGAATATTGCACACTCGCATACAAAACATTAAAATATAGCAGACTTGTTGCCACCATAAGGACTTTGAGGACTAGAGAATATGACATTATTTTGGGATTAAAACATAAATTCTGTTAAAAAATGTGATATTATTTCCATTGTTGTTTCCACGTTCCCCTCACAGCACTCCTTTGTTTTAACGTGGGTCATTTAGACTGAGTCACATGATACGAGGGGGTGTAAATGCTTTAAATACATTAAAGTAAGAGTTATATTTAAACTGCGCTGATGAACCTGCACGATGTTTCTAAGTACCCCAACTCCTCACCTGTGGTCAGTAGAAAGTGCACCTGACTCACCTGAGCTATGCAACTAACGGACAATCTGCTGTTGTGTGATGGTCATCTTTTTATTTGATTGTACTGTTTATGGGTTTACATTATTACAATAAAAACGTATCTATACTTTCATTTGAATGTTTTTAACTTTATTCAGGTATTAGAAACGGAGGATGAGCCCTCTTTATTTTGTCACACGTGTGCATGCACACACAGGAACATTTGACCTCTGCATTCTTTTGTATTCAACTGAATACTTCCACCCCATTTTATTTCAGGGGACAATGTATGTTTACTCCATTATATTTATTTAACACTCACTAAACACTCACTTACTTTTTACATTTATAAACACAGGATATTCTTGGATGAAATGATGCAGAAATGAACTTCTAATAACCCAGTATGTTAAGATGAGATGGACCTGTATTAATCCCTGTGGGGACTTCCGGAGTTAAAACAGCAACACGGTGAGAGAGAAAAACAGGAAAGTACAAGGTTAAAAAATATAACAACAATTAAAATTGTATATTAACTGTTAAGATATTTACATAACCGGGTTCAGATTGTTAGATATATTAACATGTAAGTGTGCAGATATGAGTGCAGGTCAAAGTCATTTGATACTCGCTTGGATAGCATCAGCTGAATACAATTTAAAGAGACCCTTATGTTTTTGTGTGCTATCTCCTCTCCTGTGGTGTACTCTATGGTTTTTAGAGCAGACTGGGCTCTGGTTTCAGACAGAGGGTGAAAAGAGGAGCTGCAGCACAGGCAGTATGAGGACAATAAAGAGCTTTTTGAACATTAAAGCATGGAGACATGTAGAGACACTACATACTGATATACACCTGAACATCAGCAGGAGAGGACTCTTTAAAGTAGAGACACTACATACTGATATACACCTGTACA